TAGTCTTTATTTTTTCATAATGTCTTCTCATCATATTGTTGTCTTTATTTTAAGCATGAATAGCTAAATCTCTTAGTTGGCAAAACCAAGAGGAACCTCCACTTGGGTATACCATTTCAACTCATTCTCCTCCCCTCTTTCAGAGTTCAATGGTTCGGTTTGACTGGGTTGAGGGTGGATAACTTGGTGAGTCTTTGATATTCCGTAGGCCTAGTCACGGTTTATGCTTAGATACTCACCAATCTTACCCCTAGCTTCCCACGAATCAATCGTTCATTCATGCTCTATTGGAGGAGGGTTTCAAGTTGAGACGGTAGTCCTATTGGAGTGACCTCTTGGATTTGCCAACATTTGTTTCTCATTTTACTAGTATCAAAACAACTTCATCAAACAACTTCCAACAATCAAAGATTTTACACTTTCTTTCTCCCAAAGTCACCTTCCTCTCGGTTTACTTCCTTCCCCGTGGAAATGACCTTGGAATACCACCAAGTAAAACACGATCCGCGAAAGTCTCCTTGCGCTTGGGGAGCACTTTTGTTCACACATACTCACATTTGAAATCTCATTTATCCACCATTCTGTTGTCCTTTCTTTTGACATCATCCCTAGGAGAGTGACACTCCCCTTCATTCATATACTATACATGCTAAAAGGTGATGTTTATAAGTTAGGAAACAACAAGGAAGTTTGTCAAGCAGAGATCCCCTAGTACGACTTCTTCTACATGTTCTCTTCTCCATGTTCCATCGTCATAATAAATGTTGCGTATAAAAATGGGGGAAAGACTTCTTTGTCATTTTCACTTACATTTCAAATTCCTATCTCCTCACGCTTCTTCTTCCTTCTTCGAAGTTCTAAGGTAGCCATTTTAAGTTCTTGGTGGTTTGAGGATTCTGTGTCTTTTACCCTTCTATGGTTTCATTCTAGCTCCTAGTTAGGTACATCTTTTCCTTTTGCTCCTTCAATCTGGATCTCTTTAACCATCCCTAGTGGGGTTACGAGTTTTAGTTCATTATTTGGAGGTTTAGCTATTTCCACAATCACTCTGGTAATTTTGTTTTCCTTTCACAATTTGTAAATTACCCCTCCTGTTGAGGTTGTCCTTACTCGTAGCTTGGTGTTTGGGTTCCCTGTTCTTGACTGATTGTGCTTTGCATCTATCCCTTTACATTATAATTTGTAGTTTGGGCCGATAATGGAGAGGGTAGTTTCTGATTTTTCTTTTGACTCCGAGTTTGGGGAGGAGGTTGATGAGGGCGCCGATGAAGTCTTTGCGACTTCTTCTAGTGGTCATTCTGAAGAAGAGGCGTCTACTCCCCCAAGAAGGGAGGAGGTCCCCATAACTAGTGATGTGCTAATTGAGGACGACCAATTTTTGCTATCCCTAGAGAAAAACTTCGAGTTCCTTCCTAGGGAACTGATTGCGGAGGGTTTGGGGCCAACCCTCGAGGCTCTGACCTCGGCCCTTTCGGTGGAGGCTCCTTTAGCATTGCCCCCCATTCCCTTAAGTCTTCCTAAGAACAAAAGATCCAATGGCACTTCAACTTTTGCCCCTAAGAAGAAAAAAGTTCGTCGAGACCTTTTCGACCTAACATGTTGTGCCGAATCGACCTTGAGCCATCTTGACAAAGAGGACTTGGAGGCTTCGAGGGAAAAGTATTCCTTTTCAGAGTCCGTGTTGCTCTACCCTCTTGGGGAGGATGAGAGGTGCAATTCTTCTATTCCTATGCTGACCTTCTTTTTTTTGTGTCGGCTTTTCATTTTGGACTTCGATTTCCTATTCATCCTTTTATTCGAGATATCCTTGTTTTTTAAAATGTTTGCCTAGTCGGGTGTCTCCAAATGTCTGGGGCTTGCTAGTAAGTTTCCTCATCCAGTAGTTTGAGAGTAGGAACACTTCTCTTGCCATAATTCTCGAATTCACCTCCCTTTTTCAATTAAAATCTTCTCCTTCATTGGGTTTCTCCTACTTTGCCAAGAGAGTGAAGACGAAGAGTCTAATTTTAGAGCTCTCATCTTCTAACAAAGGGTGGAAGTCGAAGTTCTTTTCTGTTCAAGGCAATTCCAGGGAATTGTTAGGAATACATAGTGATGTTCCTCGCATTCCTCGATTTTGGGGAGTCCCAAGGAATACTCTTAAGGCTAATAGCTGACTATGCACGTTTATATGTCTATTAGCAGTGTCTTTTGTTTGTGGTTGCCATACTAACTTTTGGTTTGATTTATAAGCTTCTGTCCAGTTCTCAACGTTGTGGAGCCTATTAGGGTAGCCAAGGTGGAGGCCTTTGTTCTAAAGTCTTTTTTGGATTTAGTGACTGAGGAGAACCTTGCGAAGCACAAGCTTTGACCCTCGGTGGATATGCACCCTGCCTACGTCATAGAGCTACTACCTATAGATTCTCCTGACCCAATGGAGCCTGAACTCATTATGGTGACCTTTATCAACGAGAGGACAAGGAAGATGAGGAAGCTGTCAAAGACTTTTGAGCCACCCCCCAAGGAAGAACTAAGGCTAGCAGGTGCCTCTTTGGAGCAGAAATGTGAGGATTTAGCTTCTCTTGAGTATGACATCTCTTCTTCCCTGCTCCCTGAACCACCCAAAAGCAAGCCTGCGTCTAGAAAATTCAAACCTTTGGAAGTGGTCCTAACTCCTCTCTAACCAGCTTTGCCAGAAGGAAAGAAGGGGGAAACTAGTCATCCTCAAATGGTTACCCAGGGGAGTGGGCTACTTTGCAACCCCGAGGAAGCTGTGAATGCCCTAGCTGAGCTGGTCCCAGCCTCAGACTTTGAGATGGCCATGCAAGTCTGATTTAAGAGGAAGACTAGGCATGTCATCCCGGGTATGGCTGATGTATTGTTTGTTTTCTCCTTTCTTGTTGGATTATTCTCTTTTGGATCCTTTTGCTTTCCAGTTATCTTGATCGTGTCTTCTTGCTAGTCCCTGCAGTAAATGAAGATGATAGAATTACATCATGATCATCTTGTGACTCAACTAGTTGTAAAGTAGCGTAAGCTGAAGGCCGTACAGATCGTCGTTGACACTGCCGAGGTAGGGAAAGGTATAGCTAAAAGAAAGATGGCTATTTTGGTTGTTGAGGTAGCTAAGCTAAAGAGGATCTATGATGACCTTAACACCCATTATCAAGACTCCTTAAAGCTAAATGATGCCCTTCTGAAGGCCAATGACGATGAGCTAAAGGCTAAAGATGCCGAGGTGGGGTTCTTGAAGAGGAGGATTGACAAGCTCCTTAAGAAGAATGCTTCCGCCTTCGTGAAGGGGTTTATGAACTTTCAAGACCAAGCCAAGAAGGAATATCTTGACCTGGACCTAGCCTTCTTCATGCCTCAACTCGAGGCGTTAAATCCAGTAAATGTGACTGTGGGGGCCATTGTCAAGCCAGTTGATGCAGGTGAGGAGGCCTTTACTGAGCCCATGAATATGAACTAGGAGGTTGCTATCGAGGTGGCTAGTGGTGATTGGGAGCCCGACGCGTGAAATTTTTTCTTGGCTGCCGAAATCTTTCCTTCATTGTAATTGACTTTGTGTACTTAACTTTTCCTTTCCATGTACTCTCTTTTTTCTTTTAATGAAAGACTTGGCATATTTTCTTGTCTACTAGCTCCTTCCTTCTTGTTTTTTCTCTCCCCTTTCCCTTTTCTCTTTTTATTTTTATTTATTTTTTATTTTTTATTTTTTTGAACTAGTGGGTAGCATGGCTTACCATAGGCTGCACCAAACTTGGCCCATTGTTGGAGTGGTGTCCCGCGTTGTACTATGATTACATTACTTTGCTGAAAATAGCCTCGACCTTCGTAGAGTGGGGCTGCCCCTTTCACAAGATGTCTTGATTTGCCAGGGCTATTTTGGACTTTTCCCACCCCTTTTCCTGTACTCCAAGCCTAATGGTTTTGTTAAGTCTAGAATGTGGGCAGCTAGTGGTGATGATGTCTCCTCAAAAGTAGCGCCCATTTACTCCACATTCGCCACTTATTTGTGGTATTAAATGAGATAGACGTGCATTAATGACACCTTGTAGATGTGATGTGCACCACCTGTAATCTTTATAAATAGGCCCTTTTGCTTACAGACCCTTTACCTTGGTGCTGGAGTTTTACTTCCTTGCTCTTGGTTCTTACTTTAGGGTTTCTTTCCTTTAATTTATCTCACATCCTATTTCCATGGCACGAACACCCACCTTCTACCATGATTCTCAGTGGCTGGTATTCCCTGATGTTGATGTTACTGAAATTGACGCTGAGGAGGCTCGAACAATTACTAGTCGTTATGCGTTTCCTAGTGGAGTAACTGTCCATGATGTTGGGCGCTATTCATATCATCGATCTCTAGAAAGTTGGGTTTGTTTCATTGAGGTCCTTTTTTAGTTGGGCCTTCAATTCCCTCTTCCTCCCTTTGCAAGGGAAGTTCTGCATTTCTTTAGTTTTTGCCTAGCCGTGCTACTGCCTGCATGGTGGGTAGTCTTGTTAGTATTCCTTTTGCCGTCGGAGTGGATGTTTACTCAACCTCGTGTCACCCTAGTTGAGTTTCTTAACTTTTTTCATCCGGCGGAAGTATCTGAGTTCTATTACTTTGCCTTGAAGTGGTGGGAGAGATTCATATTACTGACCTCCCTCATGAGCTCGAAGGATGGAGGAGGAGGTACTTCTTTGTGTCCGAGATGGGTTGGGAGTTTAATCCCCAGATGATGATGCCGGTCAGGGTTCCTACGATCTGGGGGAGACATGGTCATCTTGGTAAGTTCCCCCCACCTTGGTGAGTTTTCTTCTATTGACTTACCTCTCTTGCGCTTGATGCCTTTTTACTTGTCTTGTGCTCTTATTTCTTCGTGCAGGATAGTATTCGATCTTGACTGGTGAGTTGCGATCTCGTGTAGATAAAATTTGAGCTTGGTTGCCCTTTTCATATTTCGAGTTCATGCATCCTGAGCTGATCGAGATCCAGAGCAGTTGTAAGTATATATTGTTCCTTCAATGTTGTACTATAACTTTCTAGAGAATCCCCTAAGCTTACCCTTTGATTGTCTTTCCTCTTTAGTCCTTGCGTACTTGATCAGTGAGAAAGAAATGATTGTAGAGCAAGTGGGCCAGAAACGACAGGCATGGGGTCCAGGATCTCCAACAAAAAGGGCCAGGCTCATTAAGGATTGCCCAGCATAAGGGCCGAGCTCACCTGTCGTGCTTGAGATTCCACCTAGCACTGACGAAGCGCCAGTGTCTGCACTAGCGCCAAACTCCACTTTTGTGCCCGAGATTCCACCTAATGTTGACGTAGAGCCAACATCAGGACCAGCGCCTAGTGATGATGAAGCAATGATGGGGCTAATGTCTAGTAATCCTGAAGAAGGGCCAGTTCGGCATGGTTGCATGCTTGGTGTTGTGGATGGGTCTAGCTCATGTTAGCTTAATCTAGCCTCGATTTTGGATCTTGTGGGAAGCCTGCTAGATGATGCGGCTATAAGTAACCGGGCCCTTATGGAGCTGATTCCCCACATAGACCTTTGTTGCTCTATCAGTCAGTCTTTTAGAGCTAGGACTTGGGATGCCTTGCATGCACTTCTCGAGGTAAGGTTTATCATCTTTTTCTATCTCTGACTTCTCTTGCTTCAACTGTACAACAATTTATCTTTTTGCCTTAACTCCAAGCTGAGGCGCATGTTTGTACACTTGGAGGGAAGATCCACCATCTGAGGGCGGAGGCACGTGGGAAGGATGTTGAGATTTTGTACTGGGGTCTAGCTGTGAAGTCTGAGCTGGAGGTAACTCTTAAATAGAGAGTCCATGTTAAAACCAAAAAAAAATTGAATTTTTATGGGAAAGAGCAAAATATTAATTTGTCATTACAATATGGATTGAAAACCCAAATTTTTCTAGAACTCAGATGAAGAAATAGACATCACTGTTGGATTCATCTTATGAAATATAGTTATACAGTTAATTTTCATCGAATTCTAAAATAATTAGATTTTTTACGTTTTACGAGACAATCGAGTGTCGCGTGATCAAAATAAACGAGACTGGGAATTAAATTACAAAAAGTGAAAAATAATTTAAATATAGTTTAAATAAAAATATTTTAAACTTGAACCAAGACAAAATTTAATTAATTTGGGAGAAAATCGGATCCAAAAAAGGAGGACGTGTGGCGCAATGAGGACCAAGCACCTAAAGGGCATAAATAGGGGAGAAAATCATATTTTTTTCCCATACCCATCAGATTTCTGAAAATAGAGAGTAGGAGAGGGAAAAGAGAGGATTCTCGAATTTCTCTCTATGATCTATGACTCTACGTTTGTCAAATCGACTTGGGACAAGACTTAAAGTTGATCTACACGATGAAGGCAATGCCGACGTACCAAAAATCACGGGTTTCACCAAAGTTTCAAAAATAAAATTTTGGGAAATCAAGGGCGAAGGCTTGATTTGAGTTCTTGAAGGCTTTCTACCATTGTTTTACACTTCAAGAGGTAGGGTTCTTTTCTTAACTAGGTTTATTTCAACCATAGGGTTGATATATAGAATGGTTGGGGTGTCAGAGATGTATTCTCATGTATATCACTTACCTATGATATTTGAAATGTGCGAAATGGGTATTAAGAATGGTTAAAATCAATTCTAGCATGAATTGGGTATATAGAAATTACTTGTTGTGATTTGGGGCATATTATGTGATACATGATTTTTCTTGCCTTGATGGTGTTTAATTAAATGCCTATGTGGATTAAGTGTGTTATTTGCATAGATTATGTTATAACATGTTTGAAATTTGATGTTGAAAAATGCTGGTATATGCATATGATATATTGACATTAAGATTGTTAATGGTGGTTATATGCTTATGATGTAATTTACCATGGAGTATGATGATTGGATGTTTGAATGTTCATATTGTGCTCATGACATATTGAAAGTGGTTGAGGAATTGCAATTGTACATTTACATTGCATATGCACAGGTAGCATTACATTCGTGGGCAATTGACATGAGTGTAGCTGTGTGTGCATGTTGTGGGATTAAACACCATTCTTGGTGGTTCATAACTAGACTCGGGAAGAGTGGACCTAGGTCCGACTGATTTGCACGGTTGCATGAAAAAATTTTGTCGGGCATAGCAAGCAGGGCTAGGTTCTCCCTCGGGTGCAAGACCCATTTACTTGTTTATACTCTTCCGCTGGTTAAAGTCCAAAAAAGTATATCAGTGTGCAGAACTAGTGGTGAGATACCAAAATTTGGCTACCCAACAAAGACACATGGTTTATTTTAAAAAGGTCATTGGATGTGTAACATCAATGGTGAGGGCTTGAAATGCTCAAATTTATACACTTGGTATTGCATGTGTTGAGGGAGTCAAAAAAGGCTCGGGTTGAGTAGCATGTGTGAGTCTCATCTCATATCATGACATGGCATAGAGGATTCCATTGTTGAATTTCATATTCTTGAATGGAGTAATTGTTGCTTATGATTTGCAAATGAACATTTCATATGTATCTAGGTTAGGGAGTAGCCTATTTAGGAGATTCCCTATTGAGCGTCGCGCACCCTTTATGGGGACAACATTTTAGGTGTGGGACATGCGCCGGTACATGGCTCTCAATCAGGCCCTCATTGTTAAAGAAAAACTAAGATGTGAATTTTAAATTATGTTTTGTAAAAACTATTATGTTATTTAGTGTTTAAAATGTAATTGTATGTAAAGAATTCTAAAAAAAAAGAACTTATATGAACTCTATTTTGTTTAAAATGAATGCAATATGAGTTTGGGTTGAGGTTGTATAAGGTTAGAATGAATTGGAATAAAAAAAAGACAGAATCGGGGAAAAACTAGGAAGACCTACAGGTAGAACGATGGGTTCTTCTACCGGTAGAACATTTTCAATAGGCATTTTTCTACTGGTAGAACGTCAAATTTTGTAGTAGAACATTTCTAGTGAGTTTTCCTATTGGAAGAACAATGATAAATCTACTGGTTGAACTTTTCTAGAAGTTTTTCCTACCAGTAAAACATGGACATCTTCTACTAGTAGGCTTTCCTTAAATTTCAGAAATTCAATATTTTTTTGCTATGCTTTTGGGCCTTGAGTCCTTTGTTCAAAGGATGTAAATGGTGTATAATTGAGGTTAAATTGATGTGTATTGGACCTTAGATGGGTCGTGTGAATGTGATGTACACAGGTTATGCGCTTGGGAGTGCCTAGTACAAGGGAGACTCTGTCCAAACTCTGTGTTGTTTATGATCCTGGTAAAAAGGGAACATTGTGACGTGGAACCAGGTTATGTGGCATTCACAGGTACTTCCGCGGGTCGATGGGTGATCAACGGATTGACAAGAAACCTCGATTTTAAGGGCGTGACATGATGGGTGATCAATGGGTTGACAAAATACCTCCGATTTTAGGGGCGTCACAGCCTAGATTTTTCTATAGCTGATTACTGCCACCACCTTAGAGANGTGAGGGCTTGAAATGCTCAAATTTATACACTTGGTATTGCATGTGTTGAGGGAGTCAAAAAAGGCTCGGGTTGAGTAGCATGTGTGAGTCTCATCTCATATCATGACATGGCATAGAGGATTCCATTGTTGAATTTCATATTCTTGAATGGAGTAATTGTTGCTTATGATTTGCAAATGAACATTTCATATGTATCTAGGTTAGGGAGTAGCCTATTTAGGAGATTCCCTATTGAGCGTCGCGCACCCTTTATGGGGACAACATTTTAGGTGTGGGACATGCGCCGGTACATGGCTCTCAATCAGGCCCTCATTGTTAAAGAAAAACTAAGATGTGAATTTTAAATTATGTTTTGTAAAAACTATTATGTTATTTAGTGTTTAAAATGTAATTGTATGTAAAGAATTCTAAAAAAAAAGAACTTATATGAACTCTATTTTGTTTAAAATGAATGCAATATGAGTTTGGGTTGAGGTTGTATAAGGTTAGAATGAATTGGAATAAAAAAAAGACAGAATCGGGGAAAAACTAGGAAGACCTACAGGTAGAACGATGGGTTCTTCTACCGGTAGAACATTTTCAATAGGCATTTTTCTACTGGTAGAACGTCAAATTTTGTAGTAGAACATTTCTAGTGAGTTTTCCTATTGGAAGAACAATGATAAATCTACTGGTTGAACTTTTCTAGAAGTTTTTCCTACCAGTAAAACATGGACATCTTCTACTAGTAGGCTTTCCTTAAATTTCAGAAATTCAATATTTTTTTGCTATGCTTTTGGGCCTTGAGTCCTTTGTTCAAAGGATGTAAATGGTGTATAATTGAGGTTAAATTGATGTGTATTGGACCTTAGATGGGTCGTGTGAATGTGATGTACACAGGTTATGCGCTTGGGAGTGCCTAGTACAAGGGAGACTCTGTCCAAACTCTGTGTTGTTTATGATCCTGGTAAAAAGGGAACATTGTGACGTGGAACCAGGTTATGTGGCATTCACAGGTACTTCCGCGGGTCGATGGGTGATCAACGGATTGACAAGAAACCTCGATTTTAAGGGCGTGACATGATGGGTGATCAATGGGTTGACAAAATACCTCCGATTTTAGGGGCGTCACAGCCTAGATTTTTCTATAGCTGATTACTGCCACCACCTTAGAGATCTCTTTGTGGGAATAGTTGAAGGCTCAGTTTCAAACTAATGAGCTAATCAGCAGTCAAACCAACAACATGGTGCTAATTACTCGGGTGGGGGAATCTCGCACGATTTTTGCCAACCTGAAGGATTCCTTGAGTGCTGAGCACCGATTGGTCTAGAATTAGTGCAAGGAGATTGAGAAAACAAGGAGGGAGGTTTTTCAAGCATTATTAGATGGGTTTTTCAATTTCATGGACCAAGTGCTTAAAAATTTTCCCGATCTTGGCCTTGATCAATTCGAGCCTCGGTTTGAGCCTCCTCTTGGTGGTTCCTCTAGTACTACTCCATCATTTGGCTAGCCCTAAAGCTTCTTTTTGTTTTTGTTGTTGTTTTGTTTGTTTGTTTTTTTTCCCATGTGAAGTGTAATCCTTCTTATTTACTGAAATGACAAACATTTTAACTTTCTCCTAGTGTTGCTGGTTACACACTGTGTTCCGTCCTTGCCTCCTACTCCAAGGAGGTCTTGACCTGGTTAGAGTATGGGTGCTGCTTAGTCGTTCGTTTGCCCCCCATGCTTGATCTGCACTTTCTCGTGCTGGGTAGACCTGAGTTGTGCAAGCTTGAGCTGCGATTGTCTAGGCTCTCCAACTTTTGCCAACTCTACTCGGTTGTTCTATCTTGCTTGTGTCATACATTCTAAGATCGAGGTGTACGGATTCAGGTGAGAAAGTAATAAAAGCGCCGTTATTCTTGCCTACCTAACTTTCCATGGCCCCGTATTTATTAACTTCTATCATAAAGTTTCTTC